AATGGTCCTGTATTTTGGCATATTCCGGATGCTGGTTATTGAGCTCTAACAACTAAAAAATTTTAAAAATATATAAGTGTGAAACAGGAAACATTTAAAGTATGGTACATCCATATGTATGCCCCCTAATGCCATGAAGTATCATTGCCAGGGTTCTGACAGCAGGTGGGATCAGCGGGCTTAGGGTTTCCACATAGGGCAGCTCACTGCAGTAATGAACCGGAGAGGCAGTGGGCCTGTCTGCTCAGGCCAATTTAAGGCTAGCAAAACATTATGGCTATGGGCAAAGAAAGGTCCCCTTTGGTGTTCAGTTTAGTCCGGTGACCTGGCAAGTTCCTTGCCTAATGCTCCGAAAGCAGTGCAGGCGCAGAGGAGGAATTGGAAGTGCCCGTGGCGTCCAAGCAGACCAGCCTGCACAAAAGCCAAAGCTAGCAGGCAGATCTAGGAACAGCCTTGCCCCCACCTGGCTAGGTTGACAGTGAGGCACAGTTTGTTTGACTCCCACAGAAACCTTTTAACTTTTTAACTGTTTAACTAATAGACAAGTTTTGCTCTGTGAGTTCTAGTTTTCTCATCTGTAAAATAGAGATACTAGTATCTCTCTGACAAGGTTGCCATGCAGATCTGCCCAAATGAACTCCAGAAACGATGAAGTGCCCTACAAAGGTTAATTGTTCTCTGGGAAAGAGAACCATTAGATGTCTGCCTTTGAATCTTGATCCAAGAGTTTTGCAAGAGCAACCCATTCATTCAAACAAACACATACACTTGTAGCAAAGGACCTTTTCCCCCACCTTTTATGATTCACCCACCAAACAAGTAAAAAGCAAGTACCTTAAACCCATTTGAGGGCAGGGAGCCAAGGTCCTGCTGAGGAAGAAATGTTGAGGTTAAAGGCTCTGACGGGGTCTGCATCAGTTGATAGCTACAAATAAAGATAGATTAAGAATTCTCTTAGCTCCTTGTTCCATATGTCCAAGTGACTTTTTATCTTAATTGCCTGCCAGTAAGTCAAGGTTCCTAGAGAAATACACAGTGTGTTTATTTCTGAATTTTTCTTTGGACTACATCCTTGCAGATTCCTGATATGGATGTACCAGTAAGCACACTTTTAAAAACTACAGTAACTATTCATAATCAGTAAATTAAATGCTATTTTCCCATTGATTTAAAATGCACAAGCATTGATTCTTTTTCATATTTCTGCTCAACCTTCAAAGGTTTTAATGTGTTAGCATTAAGCAAATGTGTCTAACAGCTTCAAATGATAAAACATTTAAGTATATTAAAGATTCAAGGGAAAGAATTCTGTCTTTCTTGCATGAACTATTAATATATTTTAGGCTAACCATACAGGAGGAAAAATTCTTTTTTATAGATGAATCACAGCTAATAATTGCAAAAGAATCGCTGGAATTAGAAAACCACCATTTTGCAACATCTAATGACATAATGGATCTAAATTATCATCATTATCTAATTAATAATTAGATAATCACCTAAATAATCATCATCATTAGCTACTAAAACCGTAAGTGAAAGATTGGATGAGGAGTACTATAATGGAAGGATCAGAATGGAATGATCTGAACCTACTCTGTGATCTTCATCACTAAAAAGAGGACAATCAGACCTTACATATCTCTTCATAAGATGTGACAGAAAGTACAACACATCACTCGTATGGTATTCTTGACCAAAAACTGAGTATGAATCTAATCAGTCCTCTAAATCTAATGATCAATTTGCAGAAATTATACATCAAATGGCCCCATGAGGATATAATTTGCTACATTTTGAATTTAACCAATTCTATAGGTCAAATCACCTAATTTCTTAAAAAAAATTATATGAAAAAAGTGCAGTAGGGGAAAGTGTAATAGAATACAAGAGGTTTAACAGACAAATCAAGTCAATCAAATGCAATGTACAGACCCTTTGGCTACTGATTGGAATAAATCAACTATAAAAAGTCATTTTTGAGAAAATTGGAAAACATAGAACATGAACTGCGTATTGGATATTAAGGAATTATTGTCAATTTTGTTAGGTGGGTTAATGGTACTGTGCAATGTTTTAAAAAACCCTTATCTGTTAGGGACACAACCTGAAATAGTTAGAGGGCAATGACAACATGTGTTAGATTTACATTAGAATATTCCAGCAAAAGAAAAAAAGTGAGAGGTAATGGTGGGAATAGATGAAACAAGATGGTAAAATATTGACAGTTGTTGAAGTGGGTCTTGGGTACCATAGAGGTTTACCATATAATTCTCTCTAGTTTATGTTTGAAATTTTCCATGATCAAAACAATTAAATTTAAAAAATGAACACTTTAAGGAAAAAATTCTTTAAAGACCTCCTTGTTTACGTAAAATGAAGCCTCTTTTTGGAAGGGAAAGATTGCCCTGAATTTATCTCTATTTTAAGCTCAGATTTCCATTCTGGATTTGCAGTGCTGGGCAGATTGATGACCGTGTTGTAAGATGCTCATGAACAGCGAAGTGTGCTGCAGTTCATTCCTCCTCCACCCGTGAGGATGGTCCTGCAGCCTCATTCTATCTTACAGCTAGTGTGCTGTGTCTCCTCCAGGCTACTCAGAGCAGGATGAAAGCTGGTTCTCCGCATGATTCCCCCACTAACACGTTTTGGTCAATTAATTTTATTCATTTACTCACTTAGCTACCTACTTAGTATCACTCTGTGCCATGTATTATACAAAATATTTCAAGAGCTTTCAGGACCTAACAACTGGGGTCGGGGAAGGGAGGCTTGTGCTAGAGACGACATTTACACAAAGATCAATATTCCAAGGTAGAAGGGGATAAGTACTATGAGGAAATTACAGGTGTTACTAGAGGGCAAAGGAGAGACTGGGGGAGAGTCACAAGGAAGGTTTGTACGGGAAAGCGGCATCTGAGCTGGTCATGGAGGTTGCTGAATTTGTAAGAACCATGGGAAGGAATGTTCTCAGAGAGGGGGAAGAGCAAACAGGAAGCGTGAAGCAACTATGACATATGTAAATTACAGAGACGGGCAATGGACTGACTATGAGAGAGATCTGGAAATGCCATAAACCAATTTCTTCCATTGGAAGTATATATGCACAGGAAGAACCATCCAGCTTGGAGCTGAGAAGGTCCTTTGCACTTTCGACAGTGTCTGCTGTCCAGAAAGGCAACAAAGTGCAGTCTCACTAGTTGAGACTACTGAGGAGTATCTGAATTGCTAAAAAATTAAAATCACTTGTTTTTTTTTTTAAAAAAAAAGCATATAGTTTTGCAGCTTTAAGGAAATACTGTTCAAACGAACTTTTGCCAAGATATCCTGCCAGAACCATTTTAATGAATAGGAAGCACCAGCCTGAGCAAGAGTGAGACCCCGTCTCTACTGAAAATAGAAAAATTAGCTGGGCATCATGGCACGTGCCTGTAGTCCCAGCTACTCAGGAGGCTAAGACAGGAGGATCACTTAAGCCCAGGAGTTTGAGGTTGCTGTGAGCTATAATGACATCACTACACTCTACCCAGAGCAACAGAGCGAGACTCCGTCTCAAAGAAAAAAAAGAAGAAGAAGAACAGGAAGCAACTACGATGACCTCATTAGTTGCCTGAATGCAAGTGCATCTCCCCATCCTCCTACTCTGTCTTCTTCCTCACCTAACACTTGTCAGGAACTGAAATAGTTACACGCTGCCTCATCCACCAGAATGCAATCTCCATGAGGGCATGAACTTTACTCCTCACTCCCCAAACCCTGCAATATTTTTTACTTTATTAATTTGAATATTAAAAATCCCAGAAGGGACTTTAGATAGCTAGATCAATCAGACTTAATTTCTTGGGAAATCGAATTAAGAAATTCAGAGAAAATCAGGCAGTTAGTGGCAGAAGGTAACGCTGAGGGAAAACGCAGATCGGAATTCTGAATTAAAATTAAGTCAACTTATATACAGTTGCTGAGTCTGTTCATAGCAGGGAAATAAAAATAATAATAGCAAGAGCAATTAACATTCACTGACGTATTAGCTACTGTTCTGAGTGTCTGGAATGTATCACTCAAGTAACTTTGAGGAAGGCACTATTATTAAGCCCATTTTAAAGATGGGGAGGTGCAGGCTGATTAATTTGTCCAAATCCACACAGCTAATGAGTAGCAGGGTAGAATTTGAACCTAGGCAATCCAGATCCAGGCTGTTAGCCTGGGCACAGGCAAGGATTTGGAACCTGTTCCCATTCCTGAGACCCTGATACAGCTCAGGCCCCGTTCTTGGATTCTTTTTTTTTTCTTTTTTTTGAGACAGAATCTCGCTCTGTTGTCCCAGCCAGAGTGCTGTGACATCAGCCTAGCTCACAGCAACCTCAGACTCCTGGGCTCAAGCAATCCTCCTGCCTCAGACTCTCAGAGTGCTAGGAGTCACCACACCTGGCCCTGTTCTTGGATTCTTGAGAGTTGTTTTCCACATTACCTCACATTTATTTATCCTTTTAGTAATTTCTCTTTTTCATGAAATACCTTGAATTCTTACAACCAAGAGAACCTAATTAGGACACCTTGATTGTACACCTGTCTTGAAGCCTATTTTACATGATCACACATCACTCAGGGAAAAAAAAATCCAGCTCCAAAAATTGTTCATGAACAATGTAGATTTTACTGAGAGTTTCACGAGGAGAGTTACGACAAATCCTCATAGCAAAATTCCCTTAAAAAAATCCCCTGTAACCAATGTTATCTTCATCTAAAGCCCTTTCTCACACACACTACCTCATCCCTTTTTTTCTGTCTCTCAGCCTCCCATCCTCTGTAAATCACACAGCAAAACTTAAGGCACATGGAAGAATCCACAGCAAACAAAACCCCAGTGTGTCTGATCATTTCTTAGACACCCCACATTTATCCAGCCATTCACAGCTGGAGAAGCTGGCACACAGAGTATTTAAGAGAACTGCCCAAAGTCCCCTGTGAATAAGAGGGAAAAACTAGCTTCCGGGGCTGGGATTCTTTTAGTCACACCATGCTGCTTAACCAGCACCTTATTAATACAGATAACGCAAAAGGAAATTGTAGTGTAATGCAAGCAGGAACTTTTCAGGAAACCAGGGGCCAGGTTCATGAGTGACCTGATAACCCCAGGGCATGAACATCTCAAGCACCTGCCAGCAAACAGTGCTTCAGAACACTTACTCGAGCCGTCTTCCCTTATGTTTCACATCCCACGGAGACACAAACTTTGGCCTTCGGATGACGTCCTTTTGTGTCTTGGAAGCTATGTTTGTCTGAATCATCCCTTTAGACAGAAAACATAAAACCAACCAGCATCAAGAATTAGTCCTAGAAAATGACTTCTTGTTATTTTCCAGAGGCTATTTACACAACAAATATTCATGACTGAACTGTATGTGTCTGAAACGAGAAAATCCTTTTGAGTGAAAATTGCTCATGATAAAAAACGTGTATCCTTCACCGCCCTTATCAAAAGACTCAGAAAGCAAAGAGGCGAACGGACGTTGAGGAATTAATCTAATCATTAAATCAAAGTCAGATGGTAAACGAGGAGAGCTGGGGCAGCCAGACAACAAGACATCATCCACGCAAGCCACCCTACACCAGACATCAGTGATAACGGGTTGGAATTCGGTAGCTATGTCTTGAAGGTTTTTTTCTACATCAAGTGTGAAACATCATTTTCAACTCACGCATGTTGTAGACCCAGGTCCCAACTGTAAAGGCGATCCCTTTAAAAAGCAAATCACCACACATTGCTAGTAAGAGTGTAAAACGGCACAACCACTTTGGGGAATAGTTTGGTAGTTTCTTATAAAATTACACATGCACGGCGATATGATGCAGCAATCCCACTCCTAGGCATTTACCCAAGAGAACTGAAAACCTACATGCACACAAAGACTTGCAAATGAATGTTCACAGCAGCATGATTATAATAACCAAAAGGTGGAAACAACGTAAATGTCCAGGACCTGGTGAATGGATAAACTATGGTATATCCTTACAACGGACATTACTCAGCAATAAAAGAGGAAGAACTACTACACGTGCAATAACATACACAAATCTAAAAAAAATTATCCTGAGTGAAAGAAGTCAGCCACATGCAGTGCATATGCTGCAAAAGTTTATTAAGGTGAAGTTCTAGAATAGGTTAAACTAATCTACATGGACAGAAAGCAAATCAGCAACGGCCTGTGATGGGGAACGAGGGGGTGTGTGTGGTGGGGGGGGTGGAGGTGGAGAGATGGATTGCAAAGAGGCAGGACGAAACTTTTTGGGTTGATGGAAATGTTCTATATCTTGATTAGCGTGGTGGGGTTACATGGATATGTCAATATTCATCCAACTGAATGCTAAAAATGGATGCATGTTATGTGCTGATTATGCCTCCATGAAGGTGATGTAATACAAAATGGACATAAACAAAAAGACAGATCAGATCATGCCACGGTGCTGCTCAAAATCTTCCCATGGCTTCCGTCTAATAAAATACCCAAGTTTCTATCTCTGCTCTCATCCCCTACAGACCTTCTTCCTGTCCTGCGGGACTTCAGGCTTGTCTGCACCTTCCAGCATTAGCCCCGGCTCTTCCTTCTCCCGGAAAACCCTCCAGCCCATGTGCACGTGCTGCTCCCTGCATGCCTAAGCGCCTCCCAAGGACTCCTCCTTTCTCTGCTTCATGACATGGTTTCATTTTCTCCACAGCTGTAACCAATTTCTGAAATGGCCCGATCTGCTCACTTGTTCATTGTCACTCGCCACCCTCTT